GTGACTGAAATTTCTCACTTCCTGAGTTTCTGATTCTTGAAAATTTTTTGTCCCGTGATCGTTCCGGTAGTATTTCGAGGAATTTTAAGGAATTTGTTCATCCAAAATTTACAATTTAATGAATAAAATCCGTGGAAATTGTAAATTTCAGTTTAATTATTCCATGAAAATGAAAAAAAAATCAGGAAAATTCAGGTAAATGTATTCTTAAATTTTGAATCAATTGCAATGTTATATTTTAGAAGGTTGATTATTCTTAACAAATGGCCAAAGTTCACTGGTACTAATTTGTAATTGAAATTTCTCACCTCCTGAGTTTCTGATTCTTGGAAATTTTTTATCATGTGATAGTTCTGGTGGTATTTCAAGGAATTTCCAGAAATGTCTTCATCCAAAATTTACAATTTGATTAATAAGATCCATGGAAATTGTAAATTTCAGTTTAATTATTCCATGAAAATGATAAGAAATCAGGAAAATTCAGGTAAATATATTCTTCAATTTTCCATTAATTGAAATTAATTAAACATTCATCGTAATTCGGCACTGATCATTTATGTTTTGATTGAAAGTTCAAGTGAATTGGGGAATTTTTCCTGCTACTCAACAGTTTGGAATTTTATTTAGTTTGTCATGAAATTTGAAACTTCCTGATTTTTTTCCTCTAAGCCGAATTAAATGTCATTCTCCTGGTAAGAACTATTAAACTATCCATGAAATGACATTTTTTTAATCAATGTGTTTAGACCCAGAAAGGGCCAGAGCAAATCGCTTCAGGTCGGAAACAAATCTCAAACTTCTGTTATGAATGATTTATATACCATCCTTAAATGGTATGTCATGTAAATTTCACGGAATTTCGTAATTGAAAATTTATAAAAAAAATGCTTGGAAACTGTGAACTTCAATTTAACTATTCAATAAGAATTGCTTGAACTTTGAAAAATTCAGGTCAGCATATTCTTAAATTTTCAATAGATGGCAGATTTAGTATAATAGGGTACTGAATATTCATGGCTTTATTGACAATTTGAGTAAACTAGAAAATCCTTATTTTTCTGATACAGAAAAATCGGAATTCCATTGAATTTTCATTGAAATTTTAAATTTTATGTTTTTTTTTCTTTCAATTGAATTGTTGAATGTCACTCTCCTGGAAAAAAACTACTTGAAATGACATTTTTTTTTGGCAATCTACTTAAATATCAAAGACGCTACACTGAGAGAAAAATCTGAAGTTCGATTTACAATAACAAAATAGTTAAGGCATTTTGGTGAACGATACGATTTTTATTTGTCTGCGGCACATAACATTATAGTAACTTTACAAGCGTAATTTTTGCACATCAAAATGCAGTTAGACTAACCAAAGTTCAAAAGTAACCACGACAAATCTATCGTGAAGAGAACTATAAAATAGTTGCAATGACTACATTCCTTGTAGTAATTACTTCTCCGGCCATAGTTACCGTAACCCATGAAAAATTGTTGAGCCCTTTTTGACTATAATTCGATGGTGATGGAATATAGTCAGAAGAATTATATTTTTCTCTCAGTGTAGAACACATCGATTCTATGTGATAGCAGAAAATTTGCTGTCTTTCACAAAAATTAAATTATTGTCGTGATCATCAGAAATATCCCTAGAAGAATTCGTACTGTTGGCAGGAAAAAATATAATCTATGGTACAACAATCATTTGATCTCAGAGAACTGCATAAGTCATACCATGGGAAGAATACAGTCGAGCACTAAAGTTTGTAAACAGAATACATAGAATGCAAGTTCAGGCAGTTCACGAACTTTAGCGCTCAACTGTACATTGACGAGAAAAGAATATTTTTTCCCAAACAAAAAATTGTCCCCTCGAAATTATTTAGTTTTGCCAACACCACACGGAGAGAAATTTTTTAGAAAAATTCTAGTGCTAGCACGGGAAAACAGGCGCAAAGTGACGGCCAGGAAAACATTCCAGTGCCGGCACTAGAAATTTTATTGGGGAAAACGTGAATTTTTCTCCGTATTTCTGCGAAAATTTCACAGAAATCCCCAGAAATTTTACCAGAAATACCAAGAAATTTTACCTTAACAGCACTAGAATTTTTCACAGCCGGTGGATTGTGATTTTTTCCAGTACTCGTACTAGAATTTTTCTAGAAAATTTCTCTCCGTGCACACGGAGAGAAATATTCAATAAAAATTACGTATCTTTTCCGTAATTCCGGAGCGAAATGTGGTGGTAGGAAATTTTACTGTCCCTGAATTTTTCCAGAGCCTTCCGTAATGTTTAACTGAATCTCCTGTGAAAAAATACTATACCGTCACTTAAATTTTCTGAGTCGATTCCGTAATCGGTGAGTGAATTGTGAGTTCCATAATTTTTACTGAATATTTCTCTCCGTGCACAGTGTTCGGTAAGAAAATTGGAGGTTCCTCTTTAAATAATCATTTGTTCATGGAAGTTATAACTGTTTATCGGACAAAGATATACACAACTCAATATCATTCACTTGATAAAACCGGAGCCTAATATAATTCTCTGTAGAACGAATGTATTTACCCAAAATACATGCAAATGTCTCACGAGAACAATTCCAACTCTGAAAATTGTCGTTTCTTTTTTGTACACAACTAAATAGACTCAACACGACAAAAGATCTCTTCAGAGGAGCATGTAATTCTTCGACAGAACAAATTTTTTCTCTCCGCGCAAAATGATTTCCGTTTCTATCATCCTCTGCTATACATCCCAGAAGAAGAATGATCAAGTAGATTGTGTACCTGTGCAGCACGGCAACTCCGGATAACGAATTGTACAAACTTCTAACCGTCGCGAACTGAGATGATCGATACCAGAAACGAAAAAGGCATCAACAACTCACCCGTTCCTCTCATTCAGAATCTCCGACTGTTGGAGTAAGACGAATGAAAAATTGTTTCATACTCCCCCAAAATGGAGCACGGAATGAAAAGACGCTGATGATGGATATTGGTAATTTGCCAGTGAGATTTGCTCCGCATAACTCGACTCCCACCCCTCACTCCTCAATGCCAAAACCACTCTTACCGATGTAACCTATTAAAATACGTGTACACGTCTTCATGTTTAGCCATAATAGAGTGGAAATTTCTACGCGAATCATTTATCTTTCTCGCGATAATACTCAACATCGCTCGAGTGTACTCCATCAGTGGAAGAGCAGTCATCCCAGGGAGACAGGGAAGACAAATAGCTTCACGCATTATCAGGTCCCGATAATATGTAATTCACATGACTATTCATCACGATAGGGGGTGAATAGGGCTCGTAGTCTCGTTGCCCTTCTGTTATTCGCACTCATTTTACTCGGCCCGGGTGACCTAACGAATATCTCACTGTCACACGGGAAGACGGATGCTCGAATGAAGAATACGGTTCGTGAAATGTTAGCACTGTTAAAAATTTTCGTCTGAATTCTCCGTGTCAAATCTTGGAAATTTTTATCGTGTTTAATTCCTACTAAAACTTCAGGAAATCTTTTATTTCTATTTATTTATAATCTTATAAAAATCAATTATTTCATAGATTTTCAGTTTGAATTATCAGAAAATCAACAGAATACTTGATTTTTCAGTTGAATTATTAAAAAAATTAGAAAAAATCGGGAAAATTCAGGGAAAAATTGAAAATCATATCATTTTGTTCCAGAATATTCATGTTTCATTGTAAATTCTATCAAACTGGAAATATTCCCCTGACTTCCACTGAAAACTCATGAATTTTCTCGAATTCTAAGTGAAATTTGAAATTTTATAACCATTTTCCCCCTGAATCGGATTCAATGTCACTTTCATGTGAATTTCTACCATATTTTCCATGAAATTTTAAAAAATTTCTCACAGTGCATGTTTAATTTAAACTGAAACATCAGGAAATCTCGTGATTGGAAAACAAAATATTCCATATATTTTCAGTTTGAATTATCAGAAAATCAATAGAATACTTGATTTTTCAGTTCAATTATTTCGTAAAAATTCGGAAAAATCAAGAAAATTCAAGGAAAATTTGAAAATTCAAATCATTTTGTTTCTGAATATTCATGTTTCATTGCGAATTCTATCAAGCTTTGAAATTTCCGTCTCACTTCCACTGAAAACTCATGAATTTGCTTGAATTCTAAATAAAACGTGAAATTTTATAACCCTTTTCCCCCTAGATCGGATTCAATATCACTTTCATGAGAATGACTTTCAGATTTGCCATTGCCCGGTGGCTTGGCGCAGTGGATAAGTTCGTTGCCTCACATGCGAAAGGTTCCGAGTTCAAATCCCGGCCGGGTAGAATGGTGCGATCTAACCATTTAAAGTCTTGATCATCATCGCAGTATACCCTAACCGGGTCGAAGCGATGTAAAATAACGATAAAAAAAAAATTGCCATGAAATTTCAAAAAAATTCTAACAGTGCACTTTCAACGTCATTGACAGTTTCAAACTTCTCTTATAAACAATTTATGTTTCTGGGGGTCTCGAACTGGCGTGTCATGTAAATATGGCAACTTTGCATTGGAGATAGCGCTGTCTATGCTGTGGAGAAGATAACACTTTCAAACGTACAGCATTGTCATTGATACTCCAGAAAAATTATGGCGCTCCCAATAATTTTTCCGGTGCTGAACAATAATTTTTTTGGTGCCGTATGCCAATTTTTCTGATGTTACACAATACAATCTCCAAGTGTGCAAATTGTGACGTGATTATGGTGCTAGCACATGAATTTGTCTATAAAATTTTTCTCAGTATAAAACCGCCCTACTCTAGCGCAAGACAATTAAAAAACCATTGAGAAAAGAAATCGATAAATTAATTTCTTACATTCATCAGAGTAATAATTCACATGAGCAATTATCAATAATAAATAATCATGTCTTTGGGCACTTTAAATTCACTTTTGCTCATCAAAAATAAAAAAAATTCTCCGTGTCGTAGATGCAAGCAAAACTCAAGCACATAAAATCTCACCTGTACTCTCGCCATAGGAGGTGAAACAACGAGAAAAATCCTCATGGTTGCTTTAAGAAAATCATCGTGATTCCTCCCCGTATCCTGCAGCCCCGGTACATTGATACTTCCACTACTGTTGTTGGGTGTTTTCCGTCTAACTCGTCGCCGTATACTGCCCACTAGCCTTCGCCAATCCTGGCCGGAGGGGGCGGCAAAGCTAGTGCTCCCGGGTCCCATGCAGCCAACATCACCACCATCATCACAGGGTGAAGTTGCCTTTGATGGTGATGGCTCTCTGCTGGCCCGACGGCTGAGGCTTCCGCGGCCTGAGCTACTGCACCCAGCCACTGACACCGTGACAGCCTGATGTTTTTTTAACGGGCCCCGACTCTCCCCACCCCCGCCGCCACCGCTGGCCCCGCCACCGCTCAGTCTCCGGACGAGACTGCGCAGTACACCGCGACGCTTGGGCCCATCACATAACTGATCCTCTGACGCTTCCACTCTACGACCTCGGTGCGTACTCGGCGATATCTCTACCCCCTCTGTCTACTATTCCGACACTATTCTCTTCGCGTGACGTGCCCACGGGTCGAGAGCGTCACTTTCGACTTTCATCGTTGTTCAAGGTCGCTTCACCTGCCCTTATCGCTCTAGTGCCCCGCGAATTTGCTCAGAGCGGCGTCAGAGGGGGATTAAACGCGCCGGGAAAATAGTATCCATCACACAGACTTGTCGTCATCTTGCTCTCCGGTAAATTCGTCCAAGGGCGGGTGTACACTGAGAGAAATATCGCCATAATATCACAAAACTAATTTCTTACGCCAAATACATTAACAATGTATTACACCATTTTCGCCAAAATTCACGTTTTTTGAATTTTTCTGGTAAATTGTTGATCGGATTGATGTGATAAAATATTTCAACCGTTTTTGCGATTTATCATTACTTAATGACTCACGATATCTCATGATCGTGCAATTATTTCCTGCGTTTTTTCTAAAACTTTTCGGAAATTCCAAAACTTCAGAAAAAATGCAGAAAAATAATTGTATAATACCATGGAACTTCGTGAGTCAGTCAACAATGATAAAACGTAAAAGCGGTATATTATTTGGCGTCAATCCGATCAATAATTTCCCAGAAAAATTTGAAAAACGTGAATTTTGGCCGAAAGGGTGTAGCACATCCTTAAAGAAGGAAATTTCTATGGCGTTCCACATCTTTGTGAAGTCATAGGAAATGATTGGATGGGATCATCTCTTGAGGATAAATTTCTTGGGATAAGAACTGCAGATAATGTGTCAGACAATGTCAGATTTCGGTGAAGTGGTGATGACTTGAATATGAACATTTCATGATAAAGTGAGAATTTCTTGCAACAAGAAATCGATTTTTTCGCGTCAGAAGATGAGAGAATGACTAAAAATATTAAAAGCTTTGATTCAGTGAATCATGAATCATGATCATGACTTTCATTTTTTTTTTGTTTTTTTTTAAATTTTTTGTGTTTTTTTTATTTTTATTTTTTTTTGACTTCCATATTGAATGAATAGAGAGTTTATGTAGAGGAAAACCTCCAAATATTAAAAAAATATAAACGTCGCTTACGCTCAATCGCTTTGAGTTCGAAGGGAAGGAATATCTTCTTTTCATTGCTCAAGCCCAAAAAGGGCTCTTTTACCGACGGTAGTTAAGCATGAGAAGTAGGTCTTTTTACCGTTGAGCAGTATAAAAGTGAGAAATGCACTACTTAGGAGTGAAAAAGTGAGAAATGCACTCCTTAGGACTGAAAAACGTGTGGCGCCACCCAGCGTTAATGTANTTCTGTCAAACTATTCTGGTCTTTTCAGGAATATTATCTCAGTTCGAAAAAAGACGTCACCGTTTCATTCAGTAACTTCCTTCTTAGCCCGAAGAGCACCGATTTCTTGTCTGAAACCTACCACACTGAGAGAAAAATCTGAAGTTCGATTTACAATGAGAAAATAGTTGAGGCAGTTTGGTGAACGATACGATTTTTTTTTGTATGCGGCACATAACATTATAGTAACTTCACAAGTGTAATTTTTGCAAATCAAAATGCAGTTGAACTAACCAAAGTTCAAAAGTAACCACGACAAATCTATCGTAAGTAGAACTATAAAATATTTGCAATGACTACATTCCATTGTTACCGTAACCCATGAAAAATTGTTGAGGACTTTTTGACTATAATTCGATGGTGATGAAATATAGTCAGAAGAATCATATTTTTCTCTCAGTGCATACACTGATAGAATGATTCATTTATTCCTAACGAGGTTCGTTAACTATTAACGAATGGTAGAGTTGAATATGACCAAATGAATATTCGTTAATAGTTAACGAATGGTTCACTTGAATGGCGAAAGTCAAGTCAAACAAGGCTCCTCAAATATACATTCGTTAACTATTAACGAATGAACATTTGGTGGGACCGAATAGATCCTAACCTCCAACCAAATCCATTTGTTAACAATAACTAATCCATTCTATCAGTGCAAATTGTTCTAATATGTATGCGATGTTTTTCGCTCAAGAAATGATTTTTGTGATATTACGTCGATTTTTCTCTTACTGTAATTTCTTCCGTAGACGGCTCCTTCGAGGGGATGTAGCTTATTATGCCCGGAGTGTTATCAACCAAAATGGATTGTTTCTAATCCCTGAACGAGGGAGCAGCATGCCCGTGCTCGCTCACTCGGTGACGGCTACGAGGTCGGGGCTGTTGAGGTTTTTAACACTGTGATCGAGGTATTTCTTGTTTATGGATGCGGCAAGGGATGTCGGACATATTTTTATGGTGTTTCGAATCGTTTGGTCAACGTGTGATTTTTATTGGGGCGAGCAGAATGGGATGGGGGTGGGCCGAGCAATTTCTCGGGTATATATTGCGGGGAGAGATTTATTTACAACATTCCACCGTCTGAATGCAGTCATAAGGCAAACCCACAGATGAAGAAAATAAATCCTCGTATTCAGTACATCGGGGAATTTTTTTTTTGCTTCAAAAATTGATGAGATGTGAAAGTGAAGCGGTGTCATTGAAAAATCAGGGAAATTTTATTTGTTATTGGGTGAAAGAGGATGCTTGTTTTAAAATTCGGATCAGCTTACAGTGCGACCGGGCTTATTTAATTCGTAATTTGTTCGGGGGATATTCTAGATTTAATGTAGAGAAGTTTCTTGTTTGCAAAACAAATGCATTGGCTCTAGAGTAGGTAAGTGCTCTATTTACAAAAAAATCGTTAAATTGAACACCAGCGACCCAAATTATACTGTTGGAAACTTACTCTTGAAATTTCAAATTACAAAACTAGAAATTTTTAACAATATTAAATTTACATGAAATTCATCTCCATTTTGTTACTGAAAAATCTCGTCACTTCTTCGAATATTCAATGAAATTTTAATTTCCTCGTCTGTACGACAAACGGAATCATTGAAAATAATAAAAATTCAAGCCATTTTTGTAAAGCTTTCATTCGGAAGCAAAAAAGACGAGTTCTTGAACTAAAAACAGTCAAGTTCTCAAAGTGAAAGAGATGACATTCAGGATTCATTGAATATCAATACAACATTAATTGCCTCTGTGTGTTGGGTGATATACTTTTAATAACTACTAGGGGAGGTGGTGCTTGTACCGCCGCCCACCTAAGGGAATTGAGTTGTTTTTTCATCATATGTAGCGCACTCCATTCAATTATGGGCTAACTGAAAATTAGAAAAATCTTAAATTCTGAGGTCGAAATATTCTAAGAATCCGGTAGGAAATGATTTGGATTTTTTTAACGATGGTTCCACGGGAGAAAATTGAAAATTTCTGTTGAAATTACTTGTTGTTATCAAATCTTTGCATAATAAAAAAAAATTCTCTGCCAATCCTGAGAAATTTTTTAGCAAATAATAACTGACGAAGATATTTTTCTGCTATCGAAAAGGTTGCAATGGATGTGGAAATGTATAACGAACATATATTTCGCACTCCATTCAATTATGGGCCAACTGAAAGTTTGAAAAATCTTAAATTCTGGGGTCGAAATATTCTAAGAATTCGGTAGGAAATGATTTCGATTTTTTTAACGATGTTTCCACGGGAGAAAATTGAAAATTTCTGTTGAAATTACTTGTTGTTATCAAATCTTTGCATAATAAAAAAAAATTTCTCTGCCAATCCTGAGAACTACGGATGGGCGGTATTACCCGCTGAGCGGTGCAGGCACCACCTCCCCTAATTCATTTTTTAAAATTGACTTTTCTCAAATTAAAAAAAAATTGAATTCTGAAATTAAGAAGAGTTGCCTTCCGCTCCACGATTACCTTGCGTACAGTAAAATTTGCCACGATTTGCTAGTAATTTTTATCCAACATTTCTCTCGGTGCAGATAAAGAGAAAAGAGTCACCCCAAGTTTTGTGTGCCATCCACAATTAATGGAAAATCGTATCTACATACGATAGAGGTCGATGAATATTTATTCAGGGTAATATTTCACTCAAACACCTTGTTCGATATTACCTCGTTGGCGAGTGAAATTTTGTTCGACCAACCGCCCGGTTAAAAACGTGGAAAATAGAACCGCTCCAAATGCTTGTTATCCCCGAGTTGTGTTTTTTTCTCATTTTTGTCAGACGATTATTTAGAACTGCACTTCATTCAGCGGGACAGCGTTGATAAACGAATAGTTCCTGCGAATGACCAGAGTATTCTTTTTTTTTTTAATGAATTCATTGTTTGTTCCGGACTAAAATGTGGAGAATTTTTTTAATCGCATGAAAATGAAAAATATTTTTCCAATTTCACCGGGAAATGAGAATGGAAATAATCGATATAATCCGTCGATCTCGTTGGCATTGAATATTCAAATATCTCTGTAAAGTGCAGACATTCTGGAGTGTCTCTTCACGTGCACCTCGGTTCGCCTTTCATCCCAGAAGATCTCCAGGGGAAGGGAAAAAATATGGAAAAGCAGAGCAGCGAGTTGAGCCGGCGATTTTTTTCCCGAACTCAAACCGATTCAAAACTCATATTAAATTTCTCATTGTGGAGATGTACGCTTGTACAGGTTATCTCATAACGTGCTCTGGAGCTCTTGCAGTTCAAGTGCATCGTATTTTTATAAAATTCGTTTTTCTACAGATTCATTTTTGAATTAAATTTTGGATTGAATTCTTTGAGGAGTCAATGCGGGCGATTGGATACCTTCGGGCATCGGTAATTTTTGTGAATTTCCTACGTTATCGATAGATCAATAACGTAGGAAAAGCACTAAAATTACCGATGCCCCATTCAACCGCGTGTATAAGTAGCAACTTCAAAAATTATTCCCATTATTATTGTTTAAGTAGGGGTCTTGACGTTTTGCACACGGTTTTCAAATGGATCGATAATCTGTTCAGCAATTTTCATTGAATTCTCTGCTTTTTTTTCCAGCTATGGACCCTGCCATAATACCCTTAAAACTTCACTCTGTCATCGAGGACCTTCGTAATGGATTACTAGAACTCATATAAAAACGTTAAATCGATTCATCAAAATAGATTAATTTTTTTTCAACTATAAAAAAAATGGACACGGTTAGTGTAAATTGATGTAGGAAAAATCTGAATTCTTCATTATTTCTCCTTTTTGCGTCCGAATGGAAGAACTGTATTTGTTAAATCCGAAATGTACTATTTTTTGAGTCAGGATAAGCAATTCAGGCCTCAGGAGTTTAAATATGCTATTTTTAGACGGTGTCCGATTATATATGTATGCCTGTGTGTGGCCGATCGTTTTTCGACGATAACTGAAAAAATAATTCAGTTGCGAAGTGGTAAAACGGTACAAGTGAATTTTGACTATTGACCAGATTTCAATGAATATCTCGGAATCTAAGGGAGATAGCAAAATTTTTGTTATAACCTTTTTTGTAGAGCCGATTGAGAGCTACAATAAATGTAATTATGAAAATTTCGCTATCTTCCTTAGATTCCGAAATATTCCGCAAAAACTCAACTGGGAGATAAGTCGACTTGAACCGTTATACCACTTCGCTATTGAATTGTTGAAATGAATCCAATTGTCACTTAAAATATTTTTCTCCATGCCATCTTGAGCGATTAGACATGCAAATGCATCACATGACCCGTCATATGACGAATATCCTCGTCTTTCTGCTGCTAGAAAATGTAGAATTCCATTGAATTTTCAGTGCCATTGAAATTTCATGATTTTTTCCTCTCTGAATCTACTTCAATAGCACTCTTCTGAGAATTATACTCCTAAATTGTCCATGAAATTCTGCGAGTTTCCATAAGCTAGTTCTGCATAAAAATACTGCTAATTTATTCATGAAATTTCATTTTTTTTCATACGAGAGTGAAGATATGAGCGAAAAAAAAACTCAAGATTTTTTTTGTAGCTGGGACAATTTTCGGAAAAGCATCCTCTCGTCATTTTTATTTTATAATTGAGACAAAACTGTTTTGATTACCAAAGGTATGTCACTGATTTTGAACTGTCTATTCTTAATTTTAATAATATTTAATTTTAATAATGTCTTATTTTACTATTTCAAAGGCCTTAAAATAACATTTTCAAAAGTCTTAATTTGTAGCCTAAAATGCTTATGTTGAGCGTTATGAAACCCTTAACTTAAGACGTTCAGGGTTCAAATTAAGACGTTTAAAAATCGTATTCTGAGACCTTTAAAATCTTAAAATAAAGTATTATTTGTTTGAGTGCATAAATCTATCCCTAATTTTTGAGGATTTGCGATTGTAAAATTCAGTCCGTGTGGATTTTTGGAATTCAGTGATTTTGCCCCTTTTTTTAGCATCATTATCACTTATTTTCAGTGACATCATCGCTAATTTCCAGGGAAACCTCCCAGATTTAAAGCAATTTGTGTGATTTTGATTTGGACCCATGTCTAATTTTCAGTAATCTATCACCAAATTTCGGTGACAGAAATCACAGATAATCAGGATTATTCTAGTAAGTGTTCAGTATTACCAATCGGTGATGGATTTCTTAAAACCATTGACATGTTCCTGAAAATGAAAATGTTTTTTCTCTACGTTTATTGAATGAATTTAGCGTTCAACGAAATGTTTTCACCGTTTGCTTCAACCTGGAAGCAATTCTGCTCAATCACATTTGCCTAAAATCCCCTTCTATTGTCTACTTAATTTCCATTACGTATACTGAACGTCAAACCATTTTCACCACTCGACTGTTCATTTCCCCATCTCCCTTGATGAGTAAAACGGTTTTCCCCTGTCGTAAATCTATAGTTTCTCGAAATGGTTTTAGTCGCGACTGCGCAGTTTTCAAAATTACCCGTAGTCACTCTTGTGCACACAAAACTATTCCCCGGAATGTTGACGAGAGGTACGGGATTTGCTGTGACTAAATGCACCGTGCGAATAGTACAGTGTGCGAATACACAGGGGAAAGAATTTTATGGAATTAAGAAGGCTGTCCTTAACTCGAGATTAATTTTCTCCTTCTGAGAACTTGACGAATTTCAAGATCAAAAGTGCTGTTAGTAAACGAAAAAGGAAGATTTCTGTTGAAATAAACATATGAGTGCATCGATCTCAAACAATATTGAAACAATAGTGTTGACAATAATAGAAAAAACTCAATTACAGAGTTTTAACTTTAACTTTTAAGGTTATTTATTGCATGCAACACATTCTCACAAATGGCCATTGCCCGAGGGCCTTCAGCCTTGAAGAGTCTTATTTGATTCAAAAAC